ACTCCCCCACCCACCCCCTCCCCTTACACACACATTTCTTCTTTTAAAAGAATGAAAACCTAAAATAATAATGTGGAACGTACACTGATTTTCATACGCCAAACATATGATAAAAGTTAAGCGATCCAAAATACGTGTTAGAGCTTAAGAGCTTATACCTATCCATACGCACTGGGGATCATTTTGTACCCCCGAGGTTGTATTCTTCACATTTTAGAATACTTTTAGTGCGAAGATCTCTTCGAAACTTTCAGTGTTTCTCAAAAAATCATTTTGACAGACTGCTATGCATAGCGTACGGTTCCGAATACCGAGTAAATTTCCTCTTTTTAAAGTGGTGGCACAGAGTTCTCCTCGACGTATGGATACAATAGTAAAACACGACGTACGGATAGGGTTAGATCACCCAAGAGTATTGACAGGGACGTTAAGCCGATAAACCCATTTTAAAAATATTTTTTTCCCTATCTTCCCTCGTGCGTCAGTTTGGCCCGTGTGTCATCATTTCGTCTTAGAATAAACAAGGGAAGCCAACTGATAGGTTCTGATTTGCGCTTCTTCAAACGCGCCCCAGAAAACACGCCTCGTCTCCTGGTCTCCCGACTCTTACATTCACCCACTCTGAAGTTTATTTCTAACGATTTTATATTATCTGCTTTCATAAAATGCTTTTCAGAAAAACCTTTAAAAGAAAATATGAAAAAAACAACCAACAAACAAAAAAACAAACAAACAACAAAAATCAAAACCCAAAACGAAAAACAGACAACCTGTTAACGTCTCAAACAAGCTGTAGCTGTGTATACCTTCAAGACACTTTCCCACCTTATTCATCAAAATATGGGTCCAGCACTTAGGCAGAAATGTATGCCGTGTTTTTAACTATCAGATGAAATCTATTAATCGATTTGTCAAAAACGGGATGTACTGTCATTTAAAACAAACGTCCAGGAGTCTCTCGTTGCCAAGAGGTTAAGGTATTCGCCTCTTATTCAATCGGTCTCGCGTTCGAATCCGGATAGCGACGGAAAATTTTCTTCTCTAAAATATGTTCTCCTCTCACATCCTTTCCTTCTCTCTAACAATGTTCTGTCGTCTTCTTTTGTCTCCACTTTCTGCCCCCACCCCCTCATCTCCTTTGCCCCCTCCTCTGGGCTCCTGACTCTTTCTGCAGCCTTTCTACTGCTACTCCTTGGCTCCTTCTTACTGCTGTCTTTTAGCCGCACCTCTGGTCTTCTGGTTGGAAAGATATACACCTAGCCTTCTCGGACAAGATAAAACAATCTCTGAGGTCCTGTGTGCAGGTTCCACACGTTAAAGATCCCTTTGAAGTCCAAAATCGATAAGAGTGGGCCGAGTACAACAAGAAAAACAAAAAACAACAAAGTAAAAGCAACCCTCACTCATCCATCCGTATCCTCCCCTCCCCAGGGCGTGGTGGCTGGCGTGTTCACCTACAACTCCGAGCTGTTCCCCTCCCAGCAGAGGCGGCTCAACGTCATGTCCGGCATCCTGGCCTGGGCTCTGTCCGCCATGCTCATCTCCCCTGTGGCCTACCTGTGTCGACGCTTCTCCTGGCGTACCACGCAGATGGTCTACTCCACCGTGTCGGTCAACGCCATACTTCAGATCTGGTTTGTCTCTCACCTAATGTATTAATGATAATAAGAATAATACATGTGTTAATACTAATAATATTAATAATAATAATAAAAATAATAATTATAATAATAATGATAATAATAATAAATGAATAAATAGTATAGCGCAGACCCCTGCTCTCTACAGCAAGCTCTATGCTCTTTACACTATATTATATTAGTACCCCAGCAGACCGTAGAACACTCAGAAACATTCTCAGCTTCCCGGGAAGCATACAGTGCAAGCAGCTGATAAAGCGCTCAAACACTAACAAACTCTTATGGCATCGTCCAAGACAATCTCCTGTCCAAGACCAATCACCTGTACAAACGACAATTTCCACTTCTCGATCTGCGTTTAAAAAAATAATATTACGACACCGCCCAAATCTGTCTAAGACAACACCTTTTCTCCTCAACAATGGGTGGCCGTCTTGCACAATTTCCTCTGTACAGTTCTTGTTTTTTGGCTCGTCTGCCACCCACAACGCCTGTGAAGACAGAGTCGATGGAATTTGTTCAGGACCACTGGTCAACCCATGGTCAACCACTGGTCAACCACTGATCAACTGAGCCGTGTCCTTGTGTAACGACATTGGCAGACTGGCAGTTATTCACTTGGCCACTCCCAGCTTTTTGTCACGACCGACAGCTGAGCACACGAGGTGCAAAAGACCATTAGACTCTTACAGGCTTGTTAGCAGCATGAGGTGTTCAATGAGTCTCGCTCGGTTTACCCTCAAAGAAAGTTCACTAAAAGTCCAGTTTTTTAAAGGTAAAAGTAAGAGTTCTACGTCTCTTGCAACACAAATAAGTCATGTAAGCCACTGACTTTCATTAATGGTGTTACCAGAGAGTGCATACAAAAAGAAGAAGGAGGAGGGATAAAGATGATAGATGTTTGATAGGAAAGAAGGAGCAAACAACAGCAAAGCACCCGCCAACCACTCACGCACAAAGCTCGTACAAATCCTACTGTAAGTTTTCTTAAAAAAAAAAAAAGAGATTCTCGTAAAGGGACTATGAACTATATTATAGTAGAGTTTTCACTGCGTTTCGTAACTACCCTCACTTTATATAAGAACTGGTTTGGGTCGAAGAACCTGTTTGACATAGATCTTTCATAACAACTTGGTTTGGAATTCGGTTGGAAATCAGAAATCGAGATTCTACTTTTCTTGTAGGCGTTTAGATTGAGAGATGTTAGCTCTGTGTGTCAACACATAGTGGGGTGGGTGGTTGGCGGGTGCTCAGATATGGTCTGCTCCTTTCTTATCAAACATCTATAGTCTTCATTTCTCCTCCTCCTTTTTCGTATGTTATTCTCTTGTAACACCTCTACTCTCCAGTAGGCTACTTGTATGAACGATTTGTGTTGTGATTGCTGTAAAACGTTTACTAAAATTAAACTGAAACTCTCAAGAAACACCAATAATCTTCAGCACTCTTGGGATCTATTTGAGCTGCTAGTGCCGTAAAGATCTGACTAAAACTAAACTATACTAAACTAAACTAACCTAAACGTTCCAGCAATGCTTCTAATCTTCGGCACGGTCCTTATAGTTATACTGACTTATTTTTGATGCAAGTGCCGTAAAGATCTGACTAAAACTAAACTAAACGAAACGAAACGAAACGAAACTTTCGAATAATGCTTCGAATCTTTGCTACGGTTCTTATACCAGTAGTTATAATGACCTGTTTGTGTTGCAAGTGCCGTAAAACTTTCACTAAGACGAAGTTACTGAGAATAAACTAAACGAAGCTACTACACCAAAGCTTCTCTGCTAGTAGAGAATCTTTGACCAACTGCTCACACAAACTGTCACGAGGTGGGGATTACTGCATGACGTGTATAGTTCTCAGTCACGGGTCATTGGAAACCAGTGGGACAAGTTCTGAGTTCCACCCACCCAGCCCTGGGTGTGAAGGGGGTGAGGCGGGGGTGGGTAGGGGGCGGGGGTAGGTCGGGTGTGGGTAGGTGTATGGGCGTGGGTGTGGGGAGTGGGTAGGGGTGGGGAGGGGTTGAGGTGGGGGTATGATCGGCCGGACAACAGCGTGGGAACTGAGTCAATACCAACCTCCTTGGCCAACGTTGTCCTTGGTCAATACTTTCAAAGACGCCCTCTTGTGGGGAGGGTTCTTATCCAGTATCTCGGTCCTTTGACTGGGATGTACTATTCCTCTCAGCCCTGGTCGGTTATGTCAGGCATGATCGTGAGCCTACCTCCTGAATGGTCTAAATTGTACCGATAGGGGCATAAAAACAGCTACATTAAAAACCCCAAAACAAAACATGAGAACCCCCCCCCAAACCCCCC